TGACAACAATAAGCAATAATAACAACTGTCTCTTATACACATCTAGATGTGTATAAGAGACAGGTACTGTTCTACTGTAAATAGAAATCTTTGGAGATTTGGTAAAATTGTATTCTCACCTGACACTTGGCGTACACTGTGATTATTACACTGCTGGAATTTTGGTACCAATCATACCTTTTGGATGAGTAAGAACATAATTAATAAAAGCATGCCCGTACGCATGATTTTATTGGTTGTGTGCGAATTTGTAGAGAGTGTACCAAAATAGCCCGGAGGGAGGCTGGGGGCGCCTAGGGGAAAAGACTGTTGGATTTTAGGTCTTAATTAATCGATTTCTGAACATTCATATAAGGTTTTCAATGGCGGATCTAGGAATTTGAAGAGGGGCTTTCACAGATGGAGGAAATACTACATCAGCCCCACCATTGTTGAAACTGAGGGAAGAAAATTTATGATTATGGCACCTTCAAAAGGCCGGAAATTGCACTCTTACAATTTGAATATCATTTTCTTTTTTCCCAAATGTTGTTTTAATTTAAAAAAAAAAAACTGAGAGGGGACAGGACGACTGGGCTTCTTGGAACCCCCCTGACAATGGCCTGTCGCACCCTGCTACGTACGGGGCATGTAACGAAAATCGAAATATATAATGATATATAACTATAATTTATCAAGAACTACACTTTTTAATGGAACAGAGATAATAAATGAGACAGTAGTAGGAACAGCACAATAAAGATAATATCAAAGATACTAGAAATACAAGATAGAGTTCTCGCATTGTAAAAATGAGGCGGAAGTCGTGCCCAACGTAGGCGGCGCCCTTCTTTTTAACCATGCAAGTTTCCTATACTTCGTGCCCAACGTACAGGGCGCCCTTCTCTTGCTAAGTATATTCAGACGCAAAAGGCGCCCTTCCTTTTCCACTAATGGAGGAAAACTTTTTCACTAAGAGTGCGTCCGGCCATGCGATTCTGCGCTGTATTGTTGTTTTATTCTTTACTGATTCATGATTATGCTTTAATTGTTTTGTGTATTATTTGGATAGTAGCAACGATTTCTACCGCCACCAAGAAGGTTATGTATTCACCGATGTCACTGTCTGGGTGTCTATTCCAGTTTGTTTTTATATCTAGTATCTTTGTTGAGATTTTATAATAAAATACGCGACGACTTGGTAACGAAAGTTTAGCACAAGTTTTTTTAGATCCAGCTGTAGGGGGCGTCCCATTTTTCGTATTCCCACCATGCATTTCGGTGGAACGCGGTGGAACACTTTTTTTGTGTGGAGAACTCTATCTTGTATTTCTAGTATCTTTGATAATATTGACAACAATAAGCAATAATAACAATGATACTAATGATAAAGATGAACATGTTGATGGTAATGATATTTCAAAGGTAGATTTACCGTGCTCTTGGTTTTCCTTCATATTTCTCTATATTTTTTAGATTTACACCTTCAAAAGAATTGAAAAAAAAATATAGGTAAAGGTAAAGGTAGAATAACCGATAACTTGCAGCTACATTGTGCTGAATTGTGTGGACGTGGTCCGTGACTACCTAGCGGCCGTAAAGAGGCGCTTCACGGTAGCTACATGTTCACATCATTCCACAATGACAGGGGCTGAAATGAACCATAACATCGGGTAACCTCCTGCTCTTCCAAAAGATGCAACGGGTACTTTGAAGTGCACACGAGCCAGATTTATGCACTGGACCTCCATTTTAAGTCCTTATCTGAGAAGACTTGGTTCTACCAACCGAATCATGGGCAAGGAGCGGCTGGAACCAGCGCCGATGTCAAGGCTGTAGCTAGCGGCACCTCTGCCTTACCGCTTGGCCACTCGACTCGCCCAAATATATATTTATTATGAGAAATTAAGAAAAAATACATTTACTGTAATTGATTTGATAAGTATACATGCATTTGTATTAGTACTCACTATGAGTTATATAAAAGAAATACCAATTTACCTGTATTTGGTGGTGTTAGTTTACTACTATTTTGTGTTGCTACTGAAGCCTTCAATTTAGACTTGGGAGGGACTACAAAAAAAAAAGCAAGCCAAGATGATTTGTATGCAAATTTGCAGGTTAACCTGCTTTTATCGAATAAAATACAAGAAAAAATTGCTGGCATCCACAGCCTGAAGTTAGCCTGCATGCAAATCTTCCATTGATGTACACTGCTTATGATCGGAATTGTATCTCCAAGCCTATCTTTGTCAAGCTTAAAAATTAAGGTGTACTATACCTTTTGTTGGGACACTGAATGTGGTCTTGAGTCTGCCTATGTAACATTTTGCTAACATAGACTCAAAGTTAACCCACTGGTGTATCTGAAAAAAACAGACACTTGAATTTGCTTTTGAGCCCACAAATGAGCTCCAAAGCTGGAGTCATAGGTCGGCTAGCTGATGATAATTTTAGAAATCCAATAGTATTGCACAGTGTTCATAAGTTTCTACTGGAAGTCGTGGGAAAATCAGGACAGCCTCCCGCACTCAAGCAAAAATCTCCCGGAAAATTACCCATCTTCCGCAAATTCAGAATATTTGCATGTTTATACTACTTTATTAATCGTCTCATGGAAGTCAGTGGTGATCGGTGTCACTATGCGCAGCAAAATAAAATTAAATATGTTAAGTAAGGTCATTTAAACAGATCTCTCTGAAGATATTTCTTTCAACTTGGGACACCTGACTTCAGTTTCAATAAGAAGCAGTTTGGGAATGGCTTGGTTTCCTAACCTCAAGGTCGGGGGTTTCAAATCCCTCACTGTGCATTTCGCTTGTGTCCTAGAGCAGGACACTTCATCTGCATTGCTCCTCTCCACCCAGGAGTATAATTGGGTACCTCGTGGGGTTGCCTGCCCCAGTGCTGATTGTATCCAATGACCAGGGAAAAGAACTGCGCTTTATAACAGCAAGGACGAGGCATTATAAATGCCCATAGCAGTACCAGTTATATAAATTATTGTTAACAAAATGAATTTAATCATCCCAATAAAAATAATAAGCACCAAGGCAAAAAAATTACATACATCATTAAACAGAGCTGTTCCATCAATCCCTGCACCCTTTATTAGTTCATCCGCCCCTCCAGGGTGGTATTCCATATACGGTGTAATATTATAGACACGTCCTGAAAACAATTAGAATTAGGACAAATAAAGAATTATTATTATTACTGTACTTTATTTTGTGTCAACTTTTATTTATCATATTTTTTTCTAATTGGAAATCGAAAATTTGGGCTAGGCCCCTGGGAACGCCAAGCAGCCACAGTGCAGCGCCACCTATACTTATAACATACAACATATAATGGACATGCGATACAGATACACTAAATTATAATGATAAGAAGCAAAAAACACAAGAAACATAAACACAAAAAGCATATTTGATGGAAAACTCGGGAACGGTCATTGAGATGTATATTTTTGAATATATAAAAACTGGGGAGGATAAGGGGTGTAACTACCCTTATATTGTGACTTAGAAAAATCAGTATCGGTTCTTTTGACTGTATCAGTTACTAAGGTGGTGGTACGGTATATACAGTACTTGAGTACAATAGAATAGATATTCAAATTTTACCTCTAAGTGCAGTCCAGGCATCGGTATGTTTATTATGTTTGGCCAGCTCTTCTGCTGTTACTTCGCGCATTTGTTGTCCTTTCAGTCCATTTAGAGCATTCCCTGATTTTTGGCCAAGCCGAACCCAGTCCATGAGGGATCGGCCTGGCTTCAGTGGTACCTTAGCACGCCCTGGTTCTGCCACCTTGCCTCCCAGCCTTTGTGGAGAGTTCAGAGCAGGAAATTGCTGTGCCTTAGGTACATTTAGGCAGTTTGAGTCTGTCATCTTAAAACAAAACATAAAATATTCAAAACTATTTTTTAAAGGCAGGTCTAGGCCCTAGGCCTAGACATAATACGCCTTTTTTATGCTGTGGTAGACATTTTATGTAGTGTTAACACACATATTGCCATTATTTCACTGTTCAACCGAATATCATTTAGCGTGCCGGCTATATTTTCGGAGGTCATGTTACTTAAAGAATCATAACTACTTAGCGGAGGGTCGTATCGACATAATTCTTTCTTTAAAATGTTTGCAAAGGATATATCTAAGTATGAGTAACAAAAAAATTTTTAATTTGTTTAGTCTGTCAAAACTATTGAAATAATAATAGCAACACGCACTATACAAAAACATTTTAAAGAAAAAAATATGTTGACACAACCCTCTGTTAAGGATATACTGTATGTATGATTTTTTGAGTAACATGACCTCCGAAAATATGGCCGAAACGCTATGTAATTTCTGTTGGTTACGGTTCACTGCTCAACAGTCATTGTTGTCACTGATCGAAGATGTCTACTGAAGCGTGAAAAAGGCCTATATAAATAAATGTTTTCTAAATAATGGCCAGAAATGATAAATAAAATATATAGGCCTAGGCCTAGAGTAGGATGATGAAAATGTTTTTTATTTAAGAGTCAAAATAAAGTCAAGAGAGTTTTCACAGCAACTTCCGCAAGACAACAGATAGAGTATTGAAAGGCACTATGCCTACTTGCTAGGCTAGGCCTGTCGCCTACCTACAGTGCTGCTAGGCCTAGAGAGAGCATGTGAGGTTGTAAGCCTAGGCCTATGCAGGCCGGATCAAGTGGGCATACATAGAGAGGCCTAGCCGGTCTCCCTGCTCAAAACAATCACATACCAAGGATCAGGTAGGCTTATTATTCCAAACAAACATTGTTGTTTCTTTTATCTACCTTCTCCCAATGTTAATATAGGCCTACTTCAGTAAAGAATTGTGCTCTGCTAAACCTCCTTCTTTTGTCATCAACATCACATCAAACTGAATGTTACCAAAGATTACCAAGTTACTGTCAAAGATACTATTGGTTACTGTACTCTTTGATGTTGTTTGTCAGGGTTGCCAGATAGTCGACAGGCTTCACGGCCAAACGCCATCTCACGGCCAAACTTTTTTTCGATATCGACCAAAATTCGGCCAGATTTTAATCCGATTCTAGAAGACAACAGTGGGTACATATTCATTTGAAATACTACAAAAATTACACGAAAATCAGCGGTCATTCGTTTGAAATTGAAGGAATTCAAATTATATACACAGAACAATGTTAAACTTTCACTGTTTTTCTTTTAATTAATCTATCACCATAAAATGCCCAGCCCAATCATAATTAAATAGCCTATGATCTTTAGTTGCTGGCATGTAGGCCAATTCATGGGTTGAATCCAGAGATGTCCGAAAGGGGAGGAGCCGGGCCGAAGAAGGAAAGGGGAGGAGGCGAAAATGGGTCCGATGAAGACAATCTTAGGCGATCAATTTTTCTTTCTTTTTTTCACCCCCCTAAATCCGCTATTTAAAATCACATTATTAAGTTTGATCTAAATTTGATTTAAATGAATCCAAGAAATCCAAGAGATAGAACCGCCACTAGGATGGAACATACAAAGACACAATATATGGTACAAACTTGCATTGAACTGTCTTCATAAAGCTTAAACGAGGATAAACTTCTTATGTCAAATCGGCTAAAGGGCGAACATAAATTCTATATGATTCTAACCATGTACCTTTGTTTGCACTAAACACTTAATCTAACAAAAACAACATATCCAAAGCAAGTATACGTTATATTAGGCCTATATTTAAAAAAAATGTAAACTGAAGATAACATGAAAGGAAATAAATAAATACGATATTTTAATTTAGAAATACATTAGCCTATCGATTTTCACTTTGCATTGTTTTTTAATATTTGTGGTAGTGTGGCGTTTTCAGATGACGTCTTCTATGTATGTCTATATTTATAAACTTCGGAAAATCCATGCTTTGTGAGTATAGTACCACAATACTCCTGTCTCTTATACACATCTACACCATGCAGACAACCCAAACAAAGACCCGATGAATAGACAGCAGCCCAATTGTACATTAAATATAAATTTAACATAAGCCTTACCGTCTAGCTGCTTTGTGAAACAAGCTAATGATTTTCACAACTTTCGCATTACTTTTATTGTTATTGTCGGCAAAATTTCTTGTCAGAGAAATGCTCAGTTGTCGGTGAATGAGCTGATGTCGGAGAAAAGTCTGTCGACAGAACGTCTATAAAAAAACATGGCCTAATGATTTATTACAATTTTATAAAAATTGTCGGCGAATTGGCTTCGGAAAATTGGATGTCGGAGAAATGGCTGTCGTCGAATTGCTGTCGGAGGCAAAAACACCGTCGGCAAATTAACGTGTGAATTGGCATTTGTCGAAACATCCCGCACGGTTACGAATTATGGCGAATTTGATATAGACGAATTGACTGTCGGCGAATTATATCGACCTGTCCATTGTAAGGGGTTAAAAATAAGCATTTATTTGGTGAAGTTTACACAAGTTGAATGTATAAATGATCGACATAAGTAAACAGCCAGAAATAGAACCAGAGCTTTCGGACAACAGTGAGTGAGTGAGGGTTGAAAAAGCCAGGTAGCTTATAAAGTGAGAATTTTATGCAAGCATGATTAGAAACAATATAGGCATATATTAAACAATATAGGCCTATATACTGTATTAGCTTCAGGTAATTAGTTTCTCCAGACAATAAACGATGACTGTTGTTACTTTACAGTATTTATAAACTTCGGAAAATCCATTCTTTGAATCGAAAAAAAGAACACCAAAAAAACCGTTGTCATGATTTGTTATCAATATATTATTATACTTATTGATAAATAGATTGATTGATTTGTAGGTTAACGATGATTGGTTGGTTGATCGATCGATCCATCGATTGATTCAGGGAACACCCCTATTAAGGGGACAATTTTCAGTGAAACTATAGGCCTATTACAGTATATACATATTGCTCTTGTTCAATTTCTAGCTGTTGCTTATCAAATTATCTCGACTACACCTGAAAAGGGCCATAGAAAACATTAAGTAATACCTATTAATAAACCCTATGTATTTAAGTTGCTGGTTACGCAAACACATGAAATGATGTTTGCGTAAAATGTAAAATTAGTAAAATGGCGGATGAATGTGTAATAAAAAAGAATGTTCTTTATTTTCTGGGATTTCTACTGCTGGCCGTTGGTTTAGTTTGTGGTGTACTACCATACAACTTTCTCTTTAAACCAAGTTGCGAGTGTGAGATACAGGATTGTGAAATGACCGCGTGGAGCGAGTGGTCAATGTGCACTCGGCGGTGTGGACTTCAAGGGACGCGATTTAGAACGCGTAATATGACGAAGCCATCTGCTTGCGGCGGAGCATCTTGTCCTGGGATCTTTGAGGAAGAACAGTGTAATGGGGACTTACAGAACTTACACCATTTTTGCTCGTGGATCTCCTGTGTAATACAGTATTGCAATTTGTCCATTATTAATTATTATTTGTAATTATAAATTGTAGGGCTAAAAATATTCTATAATTTAATAATAATAATAATTATTATTATTATTTATGCTTAACGTTATTTAATTTGATGTAGTTTGTGTTAAGTCAGTTTGCGCCACTGAGTAAAATTGTTGCGCATATGAACATACGCAATTTAATCGGTGAATGTGAACTTAGCAACTGGACTGAATGGTCAACGTGCCACAACGGAACGCGTTAAGAATGATCACGTCACGTCAAGAGATACCCGAAGTGCGAAGGGAATGCATGTGTGGATCACTGACTGAAAATCGTTCATGTGAAGTGACAAGGGTACAAAATTAAAATTTGGCAGAAAGAGGAAATGTTGAATAAAGTAGGTCTAATGTCTAAAGAGGTCTAAAAATATATGTATAAAAAATGTAAAAATGTATACATTTTCGTATTAAAGTTTTATTTGTTTAATTCCCGTTTATATACAGTATCTGAAATAAATAAGTTGAATGTATACATGGTTAACAATGCGGTGAATTCTTCGTGATCGTGGTAAACTTATAGGATCAAGAAATGTTTGAAATTTCTGGAGACCATTGAGTAGGATTTCAGCGCATATGAACCATATCAATACATTGTTGATTGATTGATTAGTTAATCGATTGCTTTATTCATTCAGTGATCGATCAATCGATTGATTGGTATTTTATTTATTGTTGGGTAGTTGATTGATTGATTATTTGGTTGACTGTGAAAACTATTTAAAATACTTATTCATATTATTATTCGGTGTCATTATTGATTGTTATATGAGCATTAGATCTCAAAATATATAGTGGATGAAGATAACATGAAAGGAAATAAATAAATACGATATTTTAATTTAGAAATACATTAGCCTATCGATTTTCACTTTGCATTGTTTTTTAATATTTGTGGTAGTGTGGCGTTTTCAGATGACGTCTTCTATGTATGTCTATATTTATAAACTTCGGAAAATCCATGCTTTGTGAGTATAGTACCACAATACTCACAATCCATCCATGAATAACGACCCTCCAAGTTGAATTGTCAGTACAGTTACTACTCTTTTTTTAAAGCAAAATTGAATCGAAAACTGATTGATCAATAGATTGATTGATTTGTTGGTTAACGATGGTTGGTTGAGCTTCCCCCTCCCCCCACCCCTCTCTCTCTCTCTCTAGGCCTACACACACACACACACACACTGAAAAGTGTCCCCTTAATAAGGGTGTTTCCTGAATCAATCGATGAAGTGCTAAGCAGCAAATTCAGTTGAATGTTGACAAAAGATAGTACATTACACACTAAAATAAAATAAAATGCACGCCATCGTGTGGGGATTTAATATTTCGACATTAATTTGACATAATCAGGAATAGCCTAATGTTGATGATGACATAATTAATGTCGAAATTCAATATTTCGACATTAATTATGTCATCATCAGGAATAATAATGATTACATAATTAATGTTGTTAATAAAATCTCCCACAGTTATTGTAAGAAATGTATAAGAATAAAACTTCTCTCTGCCTCACAAAGAAGCAGTGGTATGACGTCAACGGAGTTACGAACCAATTGGGTTAGACGACGATCGGATTTCATGTGTATTAAGTAATACACATGAAATGATGTTTGGTCAAAAAATAACTAATGGGAATTCCGATCTTAAACTTGTTAAAACTTCGACTGACGGCGAGAGGAGCACATACAAAACGTCAAACGTGTGTGCGGTAAGATGAGTGATATTAAAAATACCGTCATCGGAATTTTGATCGCCGGTTTCATAATTTGTGGCATATATCATTTAAAGTGTAAGTCAACCGAAGAGTCATGTACCGATCAGTGTTACAATGGAGGTAGCTTTATTCAGGACACCAAGACATGCACCTGTGCTAAAGGATACGGTGGACCATGTTGTGAGTTTAAGACCCAGATGTGTCACATTGGTCAGTGGTCTGAGTGGACGCCTTGTACCAAAATGTGTGGTCCTGGTGGTATCCAGTTTAGAAGTAGGGAGAATGATTGTTTCGACTTGCAACACTTTCTTAACTATACTTCCGAGCAAAGAGCTTGTAACGTTTATTGTTTTTATGGGGAAATTCCATCGAATGTTAGCAACGAATGTATCTGTCAGAGCGGCTACGGCGGCGAATGTTGCGAGTGTAAGATACAAGACTGTGAACTCACCCCATGGAGCGAGTGGTCAGCATGCACGCGGGTGTGTGGACCACAGGGTACGCGATTTAGAACACGTAATGTGGCCAAACCGTCTGCTTGTGGTGGATCCACGTGTCCCGGGATCCTTACCGAGATAGAGGAGTGTAATGGGAAATGTTATAACAATGGAACTCTAGATGAAGGGGACTCATGCACGTGCCCAGCCGGATACAATGGACAGTGCTGTGAGTGCAAGATTCAAGATTGTGTTATGACCCTGTGGAGCGACTGGTCAGTTTGTTCTCACACGTGCGGGCCACATGGAACATCATTCCGAACGCGTAATGTCCAAAATGCATCTCGGTGTGGCGGAACAGAGTGCTCTGCAATATTCACAGAACAAAAGCCATGTAATAGGATGTGCGACAACGAAGGACTTTTGGACAACGATGCGGGTGAATGCAAGTGCCCGGACGGATTCAGTGGTCAGTGCTGCCAATGCAAAAACGTTGACTGTGAACTTAGCAACTGGAGTGAATGGTCAACGTGCGAGAAGGCAACGCGTCAAGTACGATCACGTGACATCATAAAACAGCCGGAATGCGCGGGGCATCCATGTGAGGGATCACTAACTGAAAATCGTTCTTGTGAAGTAGCAAGTAACAATTATGTTGTCCCGAAATGGTCAGTGTTCGTTGTTGGTGGGTATTGTGTATTGAATACGATTTTTATAGTCTCAATTATAATAGTAATAATAGTTTTGGGTACTTTAAGTTCATTAAGCCCTTACAATAATTATTTGATCAATATTCTTTTAACTTTTCATAATATAATAATAATTATTATAATTATTATTAATAATTTCATAATGATACAGGTGAGTCGATTGCTAGTGTTTACATACTAAAGATTTAGTAGTTTTCATTTATGGTTCCATAAGCTTCTACTGACTGAGCAGCGCTTAACTGTAATCCGAGCCCCCACGATGAATTCCAGAGGAGGAAGTGTTTCAATTTTATTTATTGCATCATTCCAGTGCTGTTTCTGGGTTTTTCCCATACATGTCAGATTATACATATATATATATATATGAATCCTTGCCCGTAGATGAAGGGAGACAGTTAATATGCACAAGAAATGCTTGAAATTTCGATAGACTTATCTACTATTAGTGCTTAGACCTTCAATTAAGAGACTTACCGGTACTCGATAGCAGATAAAGAATGAGCCTACTAAAATAATTATTGAAATATGTATAGTGAAGGTCTAAATTATGATGCAAACATCTTCGTTGACTGTGAAGTGACAAGGGTACAAAATGAAAATTTGGCAGAAATAGAAAATGTTGAATAAAGTAGGTCTAATGTCTAAAATATATATATATATATATGTATAAAAAATGTAAAATGTATACATTTTCGTATTGAAGTTTGATTTGTTTAATTCCCGTTCATATACAGTATCTGAAATAAATAAGTTTAATGTATACATGGTTGACAATGCAGTAAATTCTTCGTGATCGTGGTCAACTTATAGTACCAAGAAATGTTTCAAATTTCCGGAGACTTAATTATCTAAAATTAAAATTATCAAAATTATGATACAAATATATCAGTATAGTATTTTCATTTTATATTATAAAATGTAATTATATAATATTGTATATTACCCTCAGATCAACATCCGATTTAACTAGACTTTATAGTCCACCCTGCAGGATAAAGTCATGTGGGGAGCGTTCATTCTTGGTTGCTCCTCCTAAATTATGGAATACTTTACCGTTATGTATTCGTGAGTCGCCATCCGTCTCTTTGTTTATCTCAGGATAGGAGGCGCCTGAGTCCTGGGATGGCCGAGACTTAACTGGTGCTGGACAGGGTATCTTGTCATGACAATATAACTTTTATTAAGTCAGATTTTGCTATATGTATTAACTGCCCCTGTTTGTAGATAATCGTCTTACATTGGTTCAGTAACTTACGTTATCTCATATCAAATGTATTCATAATGTTAAAGGGTATGCTGTGAAAAAAACTCTTTGAAGTTAAATGTTACGATTTTAGGGAATTGTTCTTGAAATATTAAAGTTTCGTTCTAAAGAACACCCTAGTTTGTTAACTGAACTTTATTTTCCAATTATTTCCAATTGCACATTTACAGTGAGCCTGACCCTGTAGGGTCAGCATTTTAGTGGATTTTATTTTAGTCGAGTGCTGACCTATTTGTTGTACTGTATGTCTAGACTTTACTTTTCGTCATTGATTAAATTACAATATCATGCAATTACAGTGTAAGCGTCTGCGGTGTGTCTGTAATCTATATTATTATTAATGATGATGGTAGATTTGAATATATCTTGGGAAATAACACAACAGCAAACTTTTGCTTTGCTCAAAAAAACCCATTAATATTTTGGAATTATTGGTCCATATAAAGCTCATCACTGTAGTTGCATGTAGTATTATTAAAGAGACATTAGGATTGAAGTTTTTTTGGTATCAACTCAACATTTATTTCTCTGAAAAAGACTTGTTCTATTGGGATCCTTCTAATTTTTTTTATGAACTGGTCAGTACACAGTAAAGTTATGGCGCCAGCGGGGGGAATTTTCCTGGACCGAAGCTATAGTTGGCCCTTTCGTTTTGGACCCCCGTCGGACATGTCGAACCCCCGGTTGGCAAATTTCTGGAGCCACTGCTTTAACTGAGGTAGACTGTTTTAAAAGTCAAGTCATGTCACATCCAATGAGCGTCACAAGAACTTTACAAATTGAACATAGATTATCTGCATTCTAAGAAAACTTTCTAAAGGTGACCAAATAATTGTAATATGGCATGCCTCTAATTTTTTAATCTATTTCATTTAAAAAAAATTCCCCTCACATCCAACAGAATGTAAATCACCAACCAGGATGTAATAAATACTATATAAATCATGTCTCTTTATAAGGCTTACAGGGTATGGAATGGATTTTTTTTAGTCATGCATGCTGTGACAGGGTTTAACCAAAACTCCATTCCCGATTTATATTTTAATATTTTCTTACCCGATATTATTGACAATGAAAAATATGACACTTAGACATGTTTATTAGGTTTGGAAAATAAATAAATCTTCATTCTAAATTTGGTTTCAAAGTTCAGATATTTACCAATCATTCTAATCATGCAATTTAATCATAAGAGTCTGTATTCCACATTTGTTTTGTAGCTGCACTTTACAGATGTTAAGAAATATTCAGCTTTCATAAGCATTGGTAGCCACAATGATTAACAAAGTTGTCCCTATGCTCTTGCTGTAGTATCCAATTAACATTTATATGTTCATTTGAAAACTTCCTCTATCATAAGCCATGACACCCTTCTTCTTCATTGACAAACTTGGTCGTAATGCTCTTGCTTCATTTCCATCTATTTCATGGTCATCTTAAAATTCCAGCTGTCATAAGCACTGGTGGTTCATTTGCAAAATTGGCCCAAATGCTTTTGCTGAAGCTTCCATTTTATATTCTGTATGATCATAATAAAATAAGCACTAATGGCCTCATTGATGGACAAAATCAGCCCCTATGCACTTTAAAATTCCAGCTGTCTTAAGCACTGGTGGCTTCATTTAACAAAATGGCCCCTATGCTCTTGCTGTAGTTTCCATTTAATATTCTGCATGGTCATTAAAGATTCCAGCTGTCATAAGCACTGATGGCCTCATTGAGGGACAAAATTGGCCCCTGTGCTTTTGCTGCAGTTACCATTTAATATTCTCTATGACCATTTTAAAATTCCAGCTGTCATAAGTATAGTGGCTTCATTAGTTGACAAAATCAGCCCTATACTCTTGCTGCAGTTTTAATTTTAATATTTTGTATGATCATAACAAAATTCCAGCAGTCATAAACATTGGTACCTCAATAATTTACAAAAATGACCCCTGTGCTTTTGCTGCAGTTTCCATTAATTAAATGTCCATGTATTTGGAAAAGTCCAGCACCTGCAGCATTATCAACTGGTTGTCTCTTCAAGAAGAATAGCACCAATGCTCTGTACAGATGAAGTTTCCATTTTGAACGTCAAAACTTCTTGTGCTTTATTAAATTCAACATCACATTACTGGCACGCTGCCAACCAGAATTGTAGAATACAGACAATGATGATGTAACACAAAACATATATATTCTCATTCAATTCAATGCATTAAACCTGCTTATGTTTAAATGTCTATTTAAGAACAGTCAATAATCTCAGATGATTCATGAGGTCCCAAGTAGAAGATGAAATCTGTACTATTCAGTCATAAATTTTTTGTAAAGTGCGTAAGATTTTTTTTGCATTATTTGATTATTATTGGTACCAAAGGAATAAATATTTCTACTATGCTCAATGTACAAGAACTTACTAACGTTACTATAGGAAATCAAGGATAATCCCAAAAACCAGGTAACAGAATGTCTAACAATAATTTGATAGCAAGATTTAGCAGAGAAATTTGTGAATGTGATCAATATACTGTTTCAACATCACAAAGACCAGAAACATGCATTTCCGAACACATTTGTAAAAGTAAATGAGGCTCTCTCTCTAATCCCATAGTATTGTCACAGTCCAAGTCCTCCTGTAAATAATTTGTATATTTAATTTGCAAAATCCAGAAATAAATGTGAGAGACAGGAAAAAGAGAGGGGAGACTATGTAGGCCAGAGCTCTGTGGTTTTGATTCCAAAATAAATAATTTAATTATGAGTTCCGCAGTTTACATCTTTTTGTTAAAACTTATGTCCTACTGTATATTTCAAGAAATATTCCTCTTTCCAAATGTTCACTTAATTTCTGCTGCAAGACATTGTTAGAGGATGAAAATGTCATCTGATGTTTGATGATTGTGATCAATGATATACAAAATATAATAAGAAATTGAAGAGTTGGTCCTTAGATTTTAAAATGTTAAATGTTGGTCCATAGGTTTTGCATAAAATTTTACCTAAACTACTAAATGAAATAACATGTTAAAACAGTGGGATAAAATGATAAAACTAGTTAAAATCTGGAGCAATATAATTAAAAGTTGCCATGGACTTTGGATAAAAATTTAAAATTTAAATATTTTCTTAAAAGTATACCTAACATAAGAACAATGAGATAAAATGATAATTATTTAAAATTTTGAGCAAAATAAAAATTGGTCCTTAAGTTTAGATTTAAACTAACTTAACTATTTAAAATTTGGAGTAAAATAATTAAGAGTTGAAAAGGACATTGGATTGGATTAGAATTGAAATATTTTATCAAAAGTATACCTAACATAAGAACAATGTGATAAACGATAATTATTAAAAATTTTGAGTTCAGATTAAAACTTGCTGGAGAGTCATTACTACTGTAAAGGTTGTCCATAATTTAGGTTTAGGGACAAAATTGTAAGTAGTAAAATTAAGATAATAATTTCTACATTTTGCTACAATGCTGTCTCATTATATTTTGTGAAATTTAATTTAAATCTACAGTATAGTCATTTGTAACTATACATACTAAACTATACCTAGTTTAGAGTAATATGTTAAAAGATGGTCTTTAGGCCTACTGTAAGTTTGGATTTCAAATTTTATTTAAGATATACCAAACAGATTGTTCCCAGAGCCTTTCCATTATTTAGCATACTGTTGCAGGCAAAACTATTATCACAAGTATTCCTCTCGGCGTGTTTCAATAGCACAAATTCACTGGCATTCAGTGAGAAAATTCATTCATTTCAAGGACGCAGATCTGTTTTGAAAGAGGGGCAGTTTAGGTTAATCTAGATGGCCGTAAAAAGTAAAATTCCTCATCATCCCATCGCCAGTATAGTCAAAATAAAGCGCCAACAAATTTCTTGTGATCTTTTTTATCAGAAATTTTTACTTCATCACAAAAATTGTACAAGACTACGAACTCCAAGATAAAACGTACTCTGGCTGTGCAGTACTCTTTTGTTGAAACCTGGGTCATTTATGA